TTGCTGTGCGGCCCCTGGAATGCCAAAAAAGGAGCGAAAAGAAACCTATAGAAACTGATTGTTTTTGAGCCTCTACGAGCTGTAAACCGCTTGAAACTTTGACCAGTTGCTGAATGGAGGGACCCTATAAAGGTGCTATCGGAATCGAAGAGAAAAGTAGTTGGGGTATGGGGTCTTACTTGTGGCACGTAATCAGCCCTATGAACGGCTTTTCATGGAATGGTTTTCTTCAAGATCGCGAGGACGCTTTCAGCATCTTACGATCGGATGGCCTCAGTGGATAGCGTGAAGGATTCGGCAAAAAAATGCGGGCACCGTCCCGGGTGGTGGGGTTAATGCGTTCACTCCCTCGGCGTGCGAGTTTTTGCATTTTTTTTGCTGTTTTCGCGTTCAAATATGTCTGTGCGTAAGTATGCATTCGATAACTGCCATTTATGGGCACATTTTAAATGGGAACACTCCATGAATCAGTGCTATTCAATTATTACAGGTTTTACATACCATTAAGCAAGACCGTAATTGAAAGTTGACCTTTATAGGTCAGACCATGCCCGAATCACATATATGGAACTTATTTGTAGCTACGGTGCCATTTATCGCTAATATGGAGTGACATGTTTCTCCCAATGAATGCGTTTGCTACACACAAGTAAGGGATGTGTAGCGCTACCCAGGCGCCAAATTACGTCGGCGCCGAACATAATTGTGTGAAAATCATGATCGGGCCATCGATTACCCCTGTAAACAATCTTTCGGCCAAAAAATTTTTTTCGACTTTTTTGGGTGTGTGCGTTGGGTTGTGCCCGACAGTCTTTCTATAGAAGTCTACAGTGCCTCGCCATAGGGACCCCCTATTTTATTAATATCCAAAGATAAAAGTAACAATGCCGATGAAATTCATGCAAAGAGGAAGGAAAGGGAGGCATTCCACCAGGTTTGCTGTCCTGCCCGGCGGCCTGCTACGTCGTCGTTTCGTCATCGTCTTTACGAAGATGGGATACTCCGGTCACTACTGCCGACCAAATGGTCCACCAAAACCCAAGAAATCGAAAAAAATTTTTTGGCTGGAAGTCCGTCCATAAGGGTAATCGATGGTCCTGATTACGATTTTGACACTTATTTTCGAGGTCGACGCAATTTGGCGCCAGTATAGCGCTTAACGTCCCTCGTATGGGGGTACATAGACTTTCACTCCTTTTTTTGGCATTCCAGGAGCCGCACAGCAAGAAACGGAAGGCTCCACTTTTTACGGTTCATCGGCAAAGGTCCTACAAAGTTGCAATTAAAGCCGTTTTTGAAAAAGCGGGCACGCCGCTGGAACGACCTTCCTGGGTCAGAGCAGTTTCCTCACAATAAAATTACAAGACAATTCACATCACCAGCTCTCTCCACCTTCCCATTTCGAGTCCATCTCTGTTTCCGCTTTAAATATGACGGGACCATCTGTGCGCTGTTTCAAGCGCATTCCCCTCGGATTTTTTTTGCTTTATTCTTATTTGCCTGCTAGCTTCGCGCTTTTGCTGATGCCAGGAATCATATGGGCTATTCCGAGTACATCTCGCCGAGGAAGGAGCGGGGAGAGGCAGATGAGTCATTCTGCGAGCCGCTGGCCCGCGTGGTACCCACCCCCCTCCTTAATACGTTAGCGCCAGAGCGCCTCCTTACTTTGCCCAGTGTTTTGAGCATGCGCTCAAAACGTTGAGTCGACACGTGAGCTAGGCTCCGCACGTTGCGGACCTTCGGTAAGTTCGTTTTGCAGTTATTGCCGGCCTGTTTAAAACGCGGGTGGTAACGGACGTATGAGACGTTTAGAGCGCGGAAGGCGTTCTGACGTGTAGGTAACAAATTGAAACTGAAAAAAAACGAGATTTCACAGTTCGACCAGTTAGGTTTCATCTGACAATCTCTTTTGGCAGAAGTAATTATGCATTCGGTTCAGTGCATGCACACGTCGTCTGCGTTTAGATTTTCCCCTTTTTCATCCAGTCTGGTTTTCCCCTTTTCTCGCACAGTGTGGGGTGCCTCTTTCTGTCACCTTTGTCATCCTTTTCCACAAATCTTCTTTTGCTTGATTCATAGAGTACCGTGTACTTTCTTTAGATGAAAGAGTTCAAAGAAATGATAGAATCCGAGTCTTTTGTGAATTAGATTAATGGGAGACTTTGCTTTAGCTAGGTGGGCGTCCTGTTCGCAAGTACAAATGGGTTCCTTTCACCAATGAAGCTCGTAACGACTCTCTGCAGCTCTATCACTGGCAGCGAGTTGATAGACTTGAGAATCCTGAACCGTATCCATTCTCCAAGTTTAATAAGGTATTCATTGTTTGACTTTTCTTTCCATTTATGACGCTTCTAATCAGAAGTTTCAATTGCCTTCATTTGAGGTTATCAGCATTCCCGACTTCACGGATGAGGAGTATGAGAAGCATTTCAAAGTGGAAAAATGGACACTTGAAGAGACAAGACATTTGTTCGATGTTTGCCGACGTTTTGACATACGGTATTTCGAAATTAATCTAGTGTCGGAAAAAGTTGAAAAGGTAGTTTTAAGATGGCCAATCGTGCATGATCGGTTCGATCGAGAGAAGTATGGATTGAGATCAATGGAGGACTTGAAGGAACGTTTTTACGCCATAGTCAACGAGATAGCTGTTATGAGGGTAAGAAATTTGTAACGCGACTGTTGCCATCCATGTTTCTGCTTCAAGTTCTAACCCGGTTCTCTGTTCAGTTTATGTAGTTCTCCCTTAATGGCAGTGATAAAAGAAAATCACATGTTATGCTCCGGGTGGGTTGAGAGGAGCTTGTTAACTGAATTTCATAAGCCAGTTTAGTGGAGAGATAGAAGCGAATATCAGAAGCGGCTAACCAACTACGATGCGAAACCTTAGAGGCATTAACGCGTGTTCGTGGTTAAAACAGGAACAACAAAAAATTACGTTATAGCTAGGCTCTTCCTTGCATCGCCTTCATTATTAACATCAAGAACCTTCTTCGATACGATAGATAGCATAGAGTTTAGATAGATAGATAGATTAGGATAGGATAGGATAGGACAGGATAGGATAGATAGGATAGATAGATAGATAGATAGAGTCTTGTCCGCTGCAGATGACGGGGCGTGTCAGGCGCGACGGGTTTGACGCGGTTTCAACCCAGTTTCCCAGCAATTGTTGATGCGAGTGAGCCACAGAACCGTATCATATTGTTCATTCGAAGCGTTTTGCACCAATTGCCTGTCACTGCTTCAGCAACTGGTGGAGAAAGGGTTCGATGCCGGACCCGTTGAACCAGACACGCCCCTTCATCAGCAGCTAGCAAGCCTGCAGTTGCGACAAAGAGATGCTTGGATATGAAGATCTTATTCAGGATCCTACGTGTGAACCGATCTGCTTCGACGCTGAACACGAGCGTAGGCGAAAGGAACAGTCTATTAGATTGTGGAATCGGACGAAGTTAGAGGTATGCAATATTATTTTTAATACTGTGGTCTAATGTACTCACTTGTCACATATTTGTTAGTAATAGTTAGACGGGAACACGTCGGTCATAAGAGTGTCGTTACTTGATGTCTTTGATACAATTAAGTGGTTTACCTTCCTCCATCATATTTTAAACGAAAGTTAATAACGCTTTGCATCCTTCTCCGTGTTCATTTCCTAAGAGAAGAAGAAGCGTGTTTTTTCTTGAAGTTTTCGAGTTTTTTTTTCAGAGTGGCCTCAATGTGTAACAGCTAAATGTAAGTTTAGGCATAAGTTTTTCAAAATCGTGCGTCATCTCGGAAACTTCAGCAGTTTTCTCGCGAGTGAAAGGAAAAAACTATTCATATTAACTCGTATTGTATATTGCTGCTCACGGAGGTTTTTAGGTGGAACTATTTATTCAACGGCCTGACGTTTCGACTAATCGTCTTCTTCAGAGGCCTAAAATTGTTTCGAGGTTAAGAGATGTGCACTACCCCGCCAAGCGCCTAATCCACCCCAGCATTTCCGATGACCTAGGGAAACTCAACCGGGAAACTCACACAACAGAACAAGAAGGCGCTCACCTTTGTTCCACCGTAAAAGCGGAATAATCCGCTATTCCATAAGTCAACCAGTAGCGAATGAGAGTTACTACATATAGCGTATCCTTATATCCATCGATACGCGAAAACGCACGTAGCGCTAGTGACTTTATAGCTCGCAATACGGAATGAGCGACAGGAGGTCATTGGAAATCGACGGACGCTCGTCTCGGCTGTTCATACTATTTAGGATTTCTGACAGAAATCCAAAACGCCTCTAATGCCTTCCTAGCCGCAATATCCGTCTCCTGCGCCAGTATTGTGCACTTTATCGCAAAGTTGTCGCCGTTATGCACCTCCGCTTTGTGCTTCCCAAGCGTTCACTAACTGAACGGCATCTTGCAGCTGTGCTCTAGCAATGCTCCGTTTTATTGCAGCAGTGACCTTATCAGAGATGAAAGGAAGACATAGTGGCAACTTGCTTTGACACCGACTTTCTCGCGTGTTCGCGCGCTGCCTTCCATGACCGCCGTGGTAACGTATAACTGCCTCTGGCGCCAGCTATCTCACATCTTAAACGTCGTGATTCTTGACATTCAGCTTCGCCTGTGCACATACTCGTTGCTGTTCTCAGCATGTTGTTGACAACTGCACGTTTGACGAATTGTGGATGAGCTGACATCTCGTGAAGTAGGATGTTCTTCGAACTTGTTTTACGTACCAATTTACGCTAGCAGTGCCTTCGGATACCTTCACTTGTGTGTTTAGGTAAGGAAGCCAACCGTCTCGTGGTACCTTGCGGTAGAGCTTGATGTAACTGATCCTGTTCATTCATTATCGGAAACACTCCGTTTTCGCCCCCCTTTTCCCCCCCCTTCGGACTGTGTTGATGTTATGATGAAGCAGTCATCGATATACCTACAGTACATCAATGGATGACGCTCTAGTACCGGTTCTTCGATTCTACCCATGAAGCATACCGCAAGAACTGGTGCCTATCTGTTGACCCATGGGCTGACCTCCGACTTGCGAGTAGTATATCCCTGCCCATTTGTAGATGTTGCACCTCAAGCATTCCTCGACCAACGTCATTATATGCATTTTACTAAGCCCAAATGTGTTAATACTGTTAGCATGCCTATGCCAGCATTTCGGATAATGCTTGTAAGGCTTGCTAATTTTGGACATTGTGTAATGCGAAACGACGTCGAAGGACTCAATTACAGTGCTCCTTCCAAGGTTGGAGGACCGTAATATTTCGAGGAATTGCTGAGTATTGGACAGGTGAGACGGAACCTTGGGACGTCAAACAAGTTGGCTCATTAATCTAATTGAGAAACCACGAGATTCTATCGGTTGGTCCACCCACACAGCTGATAATAGGACGTATTTTGTACGTATCCGGTGATATTGACAGCGTATCATGTGCAGAAAGTTTATGGGTCTTTATGAGGCTATAGAAAACCGGACAGTTTGGACTACCCGTTTTGAGTCTACTTACGAGTTTTCCATCAAGGTTCGCAGAATTCGCAATGCTCAACCATACACGTTTGAGGCGGGCGCACTGTGAGGAAAAGTCCTCGTTGGTAACGCGGCGATAAACAGAAGAATCACGCAAATGGAGTTCGGTTATGTCCCGATCAAGGGATTGTGACATAACAACGAACTCGCCCCCTTTATCACTAACCGATATGCGCAATGTACCGTGCATATTGTAGGGGCACATACGAGGACCAGAAAACTGAGGTTCGTTTTCGCTGCGCGCTTCTACGAATAAAAAAAAACGTAAAAAATAGGTCGATGGTTCGGATCCCACCGAGGACAAAATTTTGCTTTTCTACAATTTTTCATTTTTTGGATCCACTTCTTGTATAAATAATTTGGTCCTAACAAAAACATTCACGATGAACTGAACAATCCTACTTTTATGGAGCAAAACTGCTTTTTCGTTCGAATTCGTTAGTATGCACAGACTCAGCTCTTCGGCACTATGCCGGTGCCAGATGGCACTGGAACCGAAAATAAAGTCTAGAATCGTGATCAGGACTGTCGATTACCCCTAGGAGCAAGTTTTGAGCGAAAAATTTTTTTTGACTTTTTCGGGCTGTAGGTGGCCGACCATTTGGTCGGCAGTGTGAGCGTTTCACATCTTCGTAACAGCGATGCGTATCGTTGACGCTACGGACACCGGACAACCCAATAAGCAAACCCAAGAAGATCAAAACAATTGTTTTGACCGAAAAATTCGTTTTTAGTGGTAATCAGTGGCCTGATCACAAATATAACACCTATTCTTGGCGTCCACGCAATTTGGCGACAGAATAGCGCTGAACGTTCCCTATATTGGTGTACATAACGAATTCAGTGGAAAGAAGATGTGGCCCCAAATTGTCTATAATTGACACCACACCAGAAGTTACTAAATTCGCAATCAGATCCACTGTATAGCCTATGAGGAACAACGTCCAGCAATAGTCTTGTTCAATGCGCTCGTGCCCGTGTGAACATCGAAATAGTTGAATTAGCACGTGACTCATGGGACAGCTTTACTCGGAATGTGCCCATAAATGGCAAATATCCGAGTTATATTCATGCGCAGACACAAATGGAAGCGAGAACAGCGAAATCTAAAAAATGCAAAAAGCCACGACGCAAGGGGAGCCGAACCATCAACCCCACCCTCACTGTCCGATTGCGAAACCTTCACTCTATCCGCTAGGCCATCCGATGCTCGACTATGCTAGCGATCTTATCGTTGATGAAACCTTGCAAGAAGCCCTTCACCCCTGAGCACATGACCCAAATTGGAAGCTGGAAGCTCACCTACGGCAATTTTTCGCTTCGATTCAAACAGCCCCTTTATAAGGACCCCCGCTCAGCAACTGGTCAAAGTTGCCAGTGACCTACGCCGCATAGAGGCTCAGAACGAAGCAGATTCCACAGATTTTTTTCACACTCGTTTTTTACCTTTCCTGGAAGCGCCGCCCGCGAAATGAAGCACACTTTTGTTAGGGTCCATTACGTGAGCCCCTACAATATGCAAAAAACCGTTTTCGAAGGCGCGCACCACGCCCTGAACCACCTCCCTTGTAAGCTCGCGTAGCTCCTTCAACACTTGCCGCTGTTCGTACGTTAATTTTGTGTTCTGAAGCCGCCTCCATGATCTACCAGATTCAATGTCGGACATGCGTGTGCACCTATATCGGAGAAACAGGAGACGCTCACATGAACGTATCAAAGAACCCCTAGCCAGAATGAGGCGCGGTAATCTTACGAAAGCGCCTGGGAAGCACAAATCGGAGGTGCATAACGGCGACAACTTTGCGATGAAGTGCACAATACTTGGCGCAGGAGACGGATATTGCGGCTAGGAAGGCATTAGAGGCGTTTTGGATTTCTGTCAGAAATCCTAAATAGTATGAACAGCCGAGACGAGCGTCCGTCGATTTCCAATGACCTCCTGTCGCTCATTCCGTATTGCGAGCTATAAAGTCACTAGCGCTACGTGCGTTTTCGCGTATCGATGGATATAAGGATACGCTATATGTAGTAACTCTCATTCGCTACTGGTTGACTTATGGAATAGCGGATT